TATGTTTCTTCTTCAGACTTTTTGAGCAGTTCCTTCATTATTATTGTCATTTCACTTTTTGCCTGAGAGATTATTTTTGACCTCATCTCTTCTATGGCCTTATAGAGTTGTTTCCTTACTTCCATTGGAATCATTTCAGCTATTTCAGGCATGTGTTTACCAAGTTCTCCTATGTCAGTGTCTCCTGGACTTGTTCTGATTGGGGTGGAGTTCTGGGAATGTGTTTTAGTCCTTCGTTTTGTCATGTTTGCTACTGGATGCAGAAAGCTCAGTTTCCCTCTTCAGTAGCTGCTCAGCCAAGACCACTAGGGTTCCTAGTTTTCCCTTTGGTCAGGTTTGCCCCTGAGTTACCTCTGAGAAGCACTACTTAGTCTCGAGTTTTCTGGCAGTTTTTGATTTGTATCTAGTTATCCCAGGTCTCAGACATGGGCCTTAGTGTCAGCTGATGGCAGACCATCTGGTCCAGCATCCTCTTGCAGTTCAGGGCACGTGCACAGCTTGGACTCAGGTTGCACTGGCATGACAATCCAAGTCCAGTGGATGGATCTATGTCCCCAAGCAGTTCAGGTTACAGGCAAAACCCAGATACAAACTGCAATGTCAACAGTTTGTGAACCACCTGATTCTGTGTCTCCAGTCAGTTCAGGACACATACAGGAAGCAGATGCAGGCCGGACAGGGAGCAATCACAGACTGCCCATGCCTGTGACCCCCTAGGGGGTCTGGGCGAAAGTAAAGCATGGACTCGAACCACAGGACTAGCAGTTCTTGGAATACTCACTCACTCGGTGCAGGGCACACTCAGGGAGGGGCTACACCTGCCCCCCCAACCAGAGAAGTCCCTGGGGCTTCTGAGTGAGTACCTCCTGTCTGCTGCGGGTACAGGGAGGGCAGAGACTCAGTCTGTAATGTCAGTGGGGTCTTGGGTTGCCCGCTCTGCCCTCAGGAAGTAGATGGGAAATACCTGGCTCTCTCCACGATAAAATATATCTATATTAAAGCAAAACCCTTGAAATTACATGGTCAAGGACACTGAATTTGTTTCTCCATGAATTTGTATTAGGATACTTTGCATATTTTCATAGGTATTAAAAGGATATCTACCTGATAAAATTAGTACTAATTTTGAGGTGTGATCAAAAAACATGGTGACTTTAAATTTTAAAAATACATTACAATAAAAGACTCACTGATATAAATTCCCTTAAAATACTTTTTTTCTTTTCTTTTCTTTTCTTTTCCTTTCTTTTCTTAGAACACACTCATTGCATTGTTTGTAGGGCTTTCTGAAGTAGTTGTGAGTCTTTAGTTGCCCCACCATGCAAAGCTTGATGTTCTGAATTGACCCAACACATTTATCTTTCATGGTCATTTTAACTTTGAGAAAGAGCCAGAAGTCACAAGTTGATAGATGGAGTGAATAAGGTGGATGAGGACCCACAGTAATGTTTTTAGAAGCTTGCTCTTCTATTGGTTGGCACTAAGCAGCAGCACTTACCATATTTTTGATCATACTCATGAAAAAGGATTTCAGAACTGCTTCAAAAGGTGGCAAGACTAATGAGATGTGTGCTCAAACTGAGGGAGAATACCGGGGAGGTGGAATAAATGGCAATGTGTATTTACTGCAGTAAATTTTGATCAAACCTCATATTACCTAGCTTCAGAAGATAGCCCGGTTTGTTTAGAAAAATGATCCAAAACTTGAAATAAAAGAAAAGTGACTGTAGATCTGATCAATGTCATACAGGAGCATTTTCAAAGAGGATCATCCAATTTATATCAAATTTTCTGGAATTACTTTTGCTTGACCTAATATTTGCCTTTTTTAAAAGAAATGTTCTCAGTGTGTTGGCCCAGCTGGTTTTCAGGTCCTGGGCTCAAGTGATCCTCCTGCCTCATTCTCTGGAGTCAGTGAACCTAAAGGCACATGCTAATCTTTGTCACTGATGGAGCTCACACTTGTTAATTTGTATAATATGGATGAGCAGCAACTGGATTTTATTCGGTAAAGACACAAGAGGTAGCTGAAAATATGTTAGCTCAAAGTTATCATTTTATTGACTTATGTACAACTAGACAAACTTGTTTCAGCATTTCTGACTATGTGATGTTATATCACTAATGCTTTACAGACTAGCTTTGCAATTTTCCTATCTACATTATTAATGAGTTAGGTAACTCCATGCAGAATGCTGATCCTGTATTTTCATGAAAGACCAGTTAATACTTCAGGATAACTCATTCACATAGAAATTTACACACAACTCCCTGTGCTTCTGAAGTACCATGATGTTAATAAATGTCACTACCATTTCCCAGGTAGGAGGTCAAGAGGAGTTCCACAACCAAAAGACATGATACCCAATATCCTAAAACTCTTACTTATAAATTAAAATTTTCTCATTACTACCTGACCAAATGGCATAGCAAAGGAAGAAAGAAGTCAAACACACAAGTTAAACTTTAGCAGAGGAAAATGTACATTTGGCTTCTTGCTCAGTGGCAGTTTCCGAGAAGTAATTGTTACATATGTCTTTTCTTCTCCTGTCTTAATCATATAGCCAAGTGAATTCTTTTCCTAAGTAATGATGACTTCTTTATTTACGAAATAAGTCATGCCCAGTATTAGGGCAAAGAGATTACTTTTTCAAAAGAAATAAATCTCTGCTGAAATTACCTGGAGGGGAAGTGACAGTAAAAATAAAGTTCCAATTTGACCCAGAGATCAAGACTGCCAAGTTGGAGAAGCTCACATAACCATCCTGTGTTTTTACCTGGGCACATCCTGTAAATAAACATAAAACAAAAAGAAGGTAGTAGTTACACATTCAAAACCAGCGTCTCCAAGTCTTTCCCAAAGAGAGGAAACTGGATGTTAAAGAAAATGTTTAGGGGCTGGGGATTTAGCTCAGCGGCAAAGCGCCTGCCTGGCAAGCACAAGGTCATGAGTTCGGTTCCCGGTACTGGAGAAAAAAACAAAACAAAACAAAAAAATGTTTAAACATTAAAGAGGTTACCCACCCCATCAAATTCTTAGACAAGTCCTGAAACCAAATAATTCTAAACAGAACAATAACCACAAACATGCACTGAAAGTTTAATATGCCAGGTACTGTGCATTGTAGGCATCATTGTACAACAGGTACACAACAGTCCCATAAAACACACTGTTATTACTATCCAGCAGATTAAGAAATAGACTAAAGAATTAAATTACTCAGTGTTGGGATTTGGGTTTATAGCCCAAATCTGACTGATTTCAAAGCTCATATTTTCAACCGCAACTAAATGTTGACTATTTTATCTCATATATATATATATTTTTTATCTCATATATGATATATATTTATCTCATATAAGTATAAATCATATAAATATAATCATGTAATCATATAAATATAAATAGATAAATCATATAAATATAAATTTATCTCATATATTTTATCTTAAATATATATGATATATATTTATCTCATATATATATTTTATCATATATGTATTTTATCTCATATATATGCATATATATACATGCAGTAATTTTACTATACTTCAAATGGTCAGTATCTCTCTTTATTCAGAGTATCTGTATTTATGTGGTAGCAGATTTGGACCATTAGATCAAGAAAACAACTTATTAGCAAATCATAACTGATGTAGCTGTTATGTTCTAGCAATTTGGATTTCCTGGGCCTTGGTTTCCTTGAATTAAGTGCAAAAAAGGCAGCTAACATTTTTCAAACAATAAACCATTCACTACAAAATGAAAGGAGGGAACTTAACTCAGGATCACATTCCCAATATCATAAATTATCTTTTGACTCCACTATTGCTAAATTACTTTGCTAATTAATAGCTACTAAATTTCACCCTGGAAATGTCACTGCGAATGTTATGGTGGACAAAGACTTAGGAGAATGGTTTTAAAGTTTATAAATTAGTTTGAGATCTCTAAGGCTAAAAGGTATCGTAATGGTGTAACACGCTTAGTGTTACATCTTTCAATTCAATTGCTCAATATTTTTTGTAAAAACAATGTTTTTCTTCATCAATTTTACAGAGCTAAAACTTCCTTTTTGGAAAACATCTTTTCTTTCATCTCTTCAGACTCCCAAAATAAATAAAGCACCCAGAAAAATGGAAATAAATAAGCCGAGACTCAAATAAATGACAGGCGCCCAAGATAAATGTAGTTTATACTCTTTAAAACCTATATGCATCAAAATTATGGTCAATAAACTCTTGCAAACAACAAACTGCAGAGTACAGATGTTCAACTTGAAATTGTTCGTTGCAGTTTTTCCTTTGACAAACGTCCTTATTGTTTCCGTCTTTGGAGGAATACAAAGCAGCATTTAATCGAAATGTGTCCGTTGAGCACAGTGAGGCTGCCTCAGAACAGCCGCCAAACTGCCTAATGGAAAGTGCTTTAGCTCCAAATGGGTTTACTTTTGCGTTAAATACCAGCTTGCCTTAGAGAGCTCCACAAAGATTCCCATATATATCAATGATATTCTCAGATTTGAAGCATATGTGCCCAAAAGCTGAAGCAGTTGCTGTCAAGTACAGTACATTACTCCGGGGTTCATCATATCTTTGGAATAGCTATTATAAATACACAAATGCCATGACAGGCTCCCTGATCAAGCTGGTGTAAATAAGGTACTGACTGGGGGAACACGGGATGAGGTAGAGTGTTGGGCTGGGAGCGACACCAAAATTGATTACACGGCCACAGGGGAAACTTTCTCAAATGTGTTGCTGTAGAGTATATGGTTTGTAAAGTATCTTTGCAGCCCAACCATCTCTACAGCTCATTCATTCACTCACCCCTGGTACATCTACTAGCAGGCTGTTACATACCCCATAAGATATTATCTTTAAAAAATTAAGAAATTTTTCCTGGAAAAATGATCTATAATTTAATATCAAATGATCTGAAGGGTTCCTAAATAATTTCCTTTGAGTATATAGATCTGGTGTTTGGTGATAAATATCTTTTTCATTGAGCAGGGTCTACTAAGAAAAAAGAATATGAAATTAAATTGCAGAATAAAAGACTTAAAGGAAACATACAGATATGGCTCTGTAGTTGTTACTTTATTTTTCTCTAGGAAGCACTTAGAGGAAGTTAGATAATCCGTCCCAAATGGTTGTGGTGCTGTTCTTTCTGAAGTTAAAAGGAAATATGTCATTATGGCTCCCAGAGAAACATTCAATCATAAAAAAAATAGGGTGCTTTGGGCTGGGGATTTAGCTCAGCAGCACAGCAGCTGCCTGGCAAGGGCAAGGTCATGAGTTCGATTCCTGGTACCGGGGGAAAAAAAAAATTAGGGTGCTTTGTATGACATGAACTTTGTAAAAACAGAAAAGTACATATGATTTTTTCCTTAATTTATTAGACACACACGTGCATACACATGCACACACACACACACACACATTGTATAGAAGAAACAGCCTCATCCTCATAATTTTTCACAAGATCTCCTAAAAATGAGAACAATGATAATACTGATCTATGTGTAGCTGTGCTCTTAATGTGGCTTGACATCAGTAGAATAAAACAGGAAACTCTCAGGCCTCACTGGTTGGCCATGGCCGCAGTATGAGTCCAAGCTGGTCAATAAGGACATCCTTGGAAGGAGAACACTAGTGAGGGATGTGGTGAATAAGTGTCAGGAATGGGGAAAAATATGGACTGTAGTAAGATATGACATAAGAGAAGGTATGAAGTGTGGATAAGGTGCTGGGTATGGTGTGTATGAGATATGGTAAGATATGGAGAGTGAATAATGCAAGGACTCTGGGTAAAATACAGAGAGTAAGTGTAGTGTGAAATATTGGTAGGGTCTAGTCAGGAGAGTGTTGAGATTTCAAGCATGCACCAATACACCCAGTGTGGAAATTAATATTTTAATGCTGCTGTGTTAAGAGCAAAAGATGAGTTAGTACGGTTTCCTAATCACTGTTAGTGCTGAAATGCCAAAAGCAACACAATGACACTGAACAGTGAGCAGAATGAAAGTATCACAGTACGAAGTTCAAAACTACCTTACAACACAGCTTTGAATACTTAGCTTCTGCACTGTCCAACTCTGCATAGCTTTGCTTATTACATTACTGTCTTAATGATGTAGCTGGTTTGAAAATTCGCACAGGGAGCATTTGGTGCTGTCCTTTTAGGCTTTGCTGCTTGGATAAAGAAATGACTAGGAGCAAAATGAAAGTCAGAAATATGTTCATTATTTTTAACAAAGTGAGCAAAAATAGATTGGAAAGCCTATGAGAAAATTCTCTCAAAGCACAGAGCATTATGTACACCTGTAAAACTGAACTGTACATAGAGAGAGCAGGAAGGGTGCTAAGGGAAGTAAAGAGATTTTGGAAATTTGGAAGGAAATTACCCCTGTGAGCAGGTGGAAAAGATATGGTCTTTTAATAAGTAGATAGATGAAGCAGAGAATTTATAGCCAAAATAATTGAAAGGCAACCTGAAAAGAGACGGTTGGAAAATTTATAGCTCTAATAAGAGAACAACAAGGTTTAAGCAGTAAGGGTTTTGAAGCTATGAAATGTTTAATCACAAATGTCGATTGCCTCCTCTAGAGAGTTTTCAGGAGACAGTTCTGTTCTCTGGAGTTGATGAGGTGTAGCCTTGTAGGAAGGAAAAGGCACGAGCTAAATCAAATGGGGACACTAAAACTCCCGAGTTCTGAGATCAAGTTGTAAAACCTGATTAATCTGGAAATTTAATTATAACTATTTTATATCTTCCTTTCTGAGAGACAAATAGTAAAAACCAAAAGAACAATATCTTCATAATAACTAGGAATTGTGAACCAGATGATAGAAAGAGTTTTAAGTAAAATATAAACACAGCAGAAGAGACAAGCTTTAGCATGCCTATGATTGACTTATTTTGATGCAATTTAGGATTTAATATGCTAGGGAGCCATATGGATGATCTTAGACATATAGCTAGGTTAGAGGAAGAAATGAATGTAAAGTCAGTGCCTATTCTTGAAAATGAGCAATTCTGTAGACAGGCTGATATATGAACTGACACAGAAATCATCTCTAAGGCTGGAAACAAAACATTTCAGAAAACGTAAAAGCAACAGAAATGCCCTAGCTGTTCCTGTGAAGTACATAAGAAATGTAAGAAGTCAATCTTTAAAGAGTTATTATCCTTAAATTTGTATAAGAATAAAGATATTTGATCAAGAAATTATAAAAAGATATATACACAGCACAGCAGTTTAAAATTGTCAATGATTAATCGGTATGTAACCTCCTTTTGACATGTTACTATCAAATCTCAAAGAACTGTATCATTATCATATCAGTAATTCTGCATAAATAGTCACCACTTTAAACCATGTTTCCAAAAAAAATGATTTCCGAGAATTGACAAGATTCCCTGCTTGTTCTCCCATGTAAATATCACGGAACTTTATAGGTGATTATTCTGGACACAGATGATTTTTATTCCTTTTTTGTTATTTTACTATTACTGCCAGATATCTCTATAATAAGCATATTTCAGCATATTTATCATATGCAAACAACAACTAATCTAATATTAAGGAAGTGTTTCTAATCTAAAATAGCAATATAAATCTATAATTCAGAGATTTGCTTGGGTCATACCTCTTTATCAAAACCATCCAACAAATATGAATTCATAAAAAAAAACATAAATTCATTGTGTCTATGCCTTTAATTATATTTGCCAGCAAGGACTTTTTTGAAGAAGGTGATCTAGGCTGGAATTTGTGGGGATGAAGGTGAATGCTTTCTTTTCTAAAAAATATTTTCTATGACCTACCTTAAAACTTTATGTAATCAGTTTAAGTTTATGTGATATTTTATTAATTTATTCACTGAAACTAGTTAGAATGATTAAATGGATTCCACAGGTTCACTTTTTCAGACTTTTAAAATCTGTGACCTTCTATCTAAATATATGCAATGATTTTAGACTATTCCATTGAATGATCTTATTCTTAACTAGATAAGTTTGATCAAAAATGAAATCCTCTTCACCTCAGGGTGACAGCTGACAATTGAACTATGATCATGCAAGCCTAAGAAATACATTTAAAATACAGACTCCCAATACTTTGCCCAAGAAAGGTGGATTACACACTCTGAAGAGAGACTTAGTACTGTGTATTTTAGGGTCTGTCCTGGAGAGAAAGAAGCAAATAGAGTATACAAATAGAAAAATGCACATAACTCCACCTGCGGCCAGGGAAAGTCTGGAGGCCCCTTTTGCGGAAGAAATCCCTTTGTACAGAGAGAGTCTGGAGCTCTCCGTCAGAAGTATGTGTTGAATGCTACACCCCTATGCTCCACACAATACTGATTATTCCTTGTGGAAAAAATGATTCATAATTTGGGGCTAGGTGGAAGGGAAGCAAGTAAGAGGACAGGAAGCTTTTATAACTCATTGGAATACAATTATAACAAATGTAAGCCAGAATATCCTTTTCCTTTTGCCTTAAATCATTCTTACAACAACACTTTCATTTTAATTAGGCCCAGCAGCCAGGTCATACTTACTTTTATGTGTTTCTGTGGATCACATTTTATACTGTTTAAAACATTAAAATTTAATAATTGAAACTTTTCATAATAAAAGAATGTGTTCTTTCTAATTCTAAAGCAAAAATAAGCAGCAACAGAAGAAATCCTTAGGGAGTCTGAGTTGTGACCACTGGGGTCCCCTTCAAGCACTTTCCCAGCTTGTGAGCAGGCTGGATTTCAGAGATATTTTGTGGGCCACGGGATCAAGAATTTAAAATACAGAAAATATTTCCCCACAAGAACTGTGTTATATCTGCTTGCTTCTCCCGGGCCAGACCCTAAAACATTCATTCCAGGGTTTCTCTGTGGAGTATATAATCCAACTGTCATGGGCCAAGACTTGGGAAATCTGTATTTAAATAAAACCTACTTTCATTTTCCAGACACAAGTTCCAAGGAAGGTAGATGGAGCTGGGAGTGGTGCTGGCTTTGAACGGAAGGTAAAGGAGGGCACAACCAAGCAGACAGGAGAAAACTAACTCTGAAGACCTATGCTGGGTCAGACGGTTTAGTACTGATAAATGCATTTATGCTCCACAAATTTGAGAGCAGCTGTTTCTGTTTCCACACAAAACCATGCTGTACCTGGGCCAGCTCATGGCACTCTACAAACAAGTGTGTGTGCCAGGGGCAGTGAGTATTCTCTAGGGAAATGGATTCGAGACACAGCCCAAGACCCAGGGCCCCTTTCTTTACACCATACTGAGAACACAGGTTTGATGAAAATGTTTCTTTGTCATGCAGGGAAAGGCAAGGGAGAAGGTGGTACCTTAAGTACTCACTGTCAGTCCGATTGTTCTTTCCATAATACTGGCCCTGTTGAGTGGGAATGATGAAGAATCCTTCCAAATCACAGAATATATTGAGCATGAACTTTGCTGTGAATTCCTGATGGGTGCTGCTATGCTTAGGATATATATTGAGTGTGTCCGCGAAGTAGCCATGCATTGAAATTCAATAACCCTTGCGAAATATTAAGAGGGTGGAAACTTAATCTTGCTAAGGCATGTAGAGGAGGAGCCTTCGGGAGATGATTAGGAGTAGATGAAGAATGCGTGGTGGAATGTCCCTTACTGGACACTTACAGCTTTATAAAAAGAGAGTCCAGACAGACATACAGTACTCCCTGTGTCTGCCAGGTGATACCCTGTGCTGAGCAGAACTGCCAGCAAGAATATTATCATCACATGTGGCCCTCGTATTACAGGCTAAAAACATCACTTGAAATTCTACTACTATAGGCTAAAACCACCTCTTTTTATATAAAGTAACCCTGTGTCAGGTATTTTGCTATAGTAACAAAAATAGACTAAGACAAATGCAAACATTTTCTGTGCAAAGCAGTAACAGGTGACTGAAAGTCTGGGATACTGACCTCTTAGCACTGAATCTGATGTCCCTTCCAGGGAAACTGAAACGGTCCATGGTTCTGCGGGGGACCCCAAGCACTCCACTCTTTGATACTGGAAATCGAGAAAGGAATTGAAAAAAAGTTGGATTTAAAAGAGTGTTTGTGAAGTTCTATAAAAAAGAAGAGTATTTAGGCTGAACCATTTGTAAAACACATATTTAGTATAAATGTTAAAAAACAGTATTTTCTTTCTCATGTTAAGAATGTAGCTCATTAAAAGAAACGAAAGAAAATATTGTAAGAAAATTTAAAACAGAGCAGTGATGAACAGACATTAAAGTGGTCTACAAAAAAGCATGACGACATTAAGTTAACAAGAAAAGTTATGAGAAGGAAGTAGAAGCTGCTGGGCACTGTGGTCCACCTACAGTCCCAGCTCCCAGGCGGGCTGGGTTAGGAAGATTCCAAGTTAGGCCGCCGGAACTTAGGGATTTAGCTAGACTCTGTCTCAAAATACGGAAAGTCCTGGGAACCAGGCTCAGTGGGAAGGCCCTGGACTCAAATAAGATCAAACTCGATGGATTTCCAGGTATCTTTGGTTGAGCTGCTGTTCCTGCCTCGATGTCCTGAATCAATTCAAAACATTTATCTTTCGACTTTAAGCACAGGTAAGAAATCTTACAGTGCCGCATCTGATGAATACGGCAGTTAAAAACACACCGTAATGTTTTCAGCGCCCTGCGTTCATCGTAAGTTGGGCCACATCTCCTAAGGACATAAAGGAGCACTTCCAGAACTGCTTCAGAAAGTGGTAAGAGCCAAGCACGGTGGCACGTGCCTGAAATCCCAGCACTCAGGAGGCTGAGGCAGCAGGGTCTCTGTGAGTTCAAGGCCAGCCTGAACTACACAACATGACCCTGTCTCAAAACAAACAAAAAAGTGCAAGAATGGTGGGCTACTTGTGGTTTAAGCAAAAGGGAGTATTTTGAGGAGGATTAAGGACAAACTGTCTTTTATTACAATAATGTTTTAAACATAAACCACATATATAAGTCACATCTGGTATGCAAAGACTTCTGCAGGTGTGGAGGTGCTTCTTTGAGAAGGTTTACTTTCAGAAAACATACAGAGACCTAATTGAAGAATTTGCTTAGGGAGGAAAGGCATCAGCATTCTCTCTTTATCCTTGACAAAATTGTGAAGAATTCATAGAACATGGACATGAATGTGACATGAAAGAAAAAGGACAAGAACAGAGTGACAAATTTCATGCAGGGCCCACTCTGTGAAAGCATCTCAGTGATGAGGAAGCCTGAACCTGTGCTGTACGCAGATCATCTCCTAAGAGAAGTTACCTGCTTGTCCAGAAAAATGAGCTGTGGCTGCACTGGAAGCTCTTTTCCCACTTCTCCATCTGAAGGCTGGACCAGGACGAAAAGAGTATAGGGCCGAGCATAGATTAAGTTTCCAGCTTTGAAACTGCTAGAATTTCTGGAAAATATAAAAACATATAGAATATGTACATAGAATTATGAATACTTTGGAGTAGCTATTTTCCATAAGACATTATTACCAGTGAAAATATTTATAATTGTTTATGCTTCTAGAAACAATATTATATTGTATAGTGAATAATTATATATTGATATATAATGTATATATTTGATTGGTATATTTGCTTTAATAAAGTAATATGGACTGATCAAGATGAAGGAGAAGCACAAATTATGATCTTATATTTTTTCACTACACATTAAGGTCAGTGTAAAAATCTTCAGTAAAGGAAATGATCAGGGTAAAATATTTAGAGGTCAAGGATTTGTTCAATTGTAGGGGAATAAACCAGCTCTCCCAGATAATACCTTGATTTGTAGTGTGTTTTAGTTTCTGTGGTATAAATATTCTCCCCCTCCCCCACACCACTAATTCCAAGATAACAAGATAGTCACTAAACAGAGCTGGAAAGATGGCCAGTAGAAAACTCTAGAACACTATGGTTGCATTTTCATTTAATCCTGGCAATCACCATTTTATATTTTCCAGTTATGTGGACATTAAGTAGAGCCAACAACTATGGACTGAACTGAATGATTGATTGATTGACTGATTGATTGACTGATTGATTTTAAGTGCAAGAGGCATTTAGGCAGAATAAAGTTTAGAAATGTATATTCACTGAGCACTACTATGTCCCAGGTATTATTATAAACCCTTCATGTATAACCTCATTGCAACTCCAAAATGTGCCCTTATTTGTATATGAGGAATAAGAGGTCCAAAAGGCTTAAGTAACCTGTCAAAGGTCTAAACCATAGCAATTGCTAGCCAAAATCTTGCATGGTTAACCAGTGAGCTATACTGCTTCTCACCTTGCTCATGTATACTCATTGCTGATGTGACTTAGCAATAAAATAATTACATGATTCATGGTACCCCTATACATCTTTAATATGCTGTATGACAGAACTAGCCTTATAAAAATATGCACTTACTATTTAATTATGCTGGCATATAATATGTATTACACATTACAGTCATGCAGCAGATATTTGGCAATCATATATATATATATATATATATCCACCACTTGTCATATATGTGTGAGGTATCCTTAAAAATAGCCCACACCAGGTCTAAAAACTCTTGTTTTTAAAAAATGTAGGCTACTCTGCTTTGCCATTAACTATTTCTGAGTCACTTACTCTGTTACCCAATTTCTCCCCTCCCACACATAAACAGGAAAGGATAAAATATTTATTTATCATGAATGTACATATCAGGTAATGGTGATGATTAGCCTGAAAGGGAAAATAGTGGCAAAGCAAATACAGTGGATCCCAAATGATGAAGTTTCTGTCGGAAGCAATTTGCTCTGCCTGCGACACCTTGGATGTGCAGACAGAGTGGACACATGTGGCCCTAAGCAGCCTCTTCTCGCCCCACCAGCCAGGACCCTGGGCTCCCGCAGCCTCCATCCCTGGAGTTCACTGTGCACGAACTCAGTTGTCACTTATGAGTTCATTTAGTCTGAGAGGCCTCGGTTCTTTTCCTTTTTTAAAGGGAACAATTTAAACCAGATTTTTTTAAATCTATGCTATTAATTCTATCCTTCGATGGGTCCCAGGTTACTGGAAAATTTTAAAAGCATCACCAGATCCTATTTCTTTCCTAATCTCGTCCTGAAGTTTTCTGACGAGGGCTCGGTCCAGGCAAGCAGCTTGAGTTAAAGAAACTGAAAGACCCATTAAAGATTCTGACATAAGGACATCACGGTCTAAAATGAAAGGATGGGAAACAACTGCCTGAACAGCCACGGAAAGGCCTGTCCCTGACACACTTTAAAGTTTATTGTGAGCAAACATCTCTTATTAAATGTAAACAGCATCGCACTGGAGGTCAGAGACTTGCTGCTGCAGCATATCCCAAGGTAATACCACTTTAAGCTCCACATAAACTCTTAAGCAGTTTCTATCCTAAAACCTGACCGTAGGTGGTACAGTTTTTTACGATATGTTATAATAGTGCAATAAATCTGTTAGCTTAAAATCGAATCTCCGTGGCCTTTTAGAGAAATCATCATTAAATGCAGGGTCCTGTTAATGATGCCATCGAAGTGAAATTGTTTAATCTGCTCAGGGGGTGAAAGGTCACCAAATGAATTTTTTATAATACATCAACTTGACACGCAATAGGGAAAACTGTAATAGATAAAAGCAAAGGAAAAGGGCACTGTCTTCTTCTGATAGGTCAATAGCAGCCAAGAGAGTCACTCATCCACTTTTCTTTCACAATGGGGCTCCTTTTGCATTTAATATGGACACCCAATTAATACCTCAGCACCACAGACAACCTCATTTTAGGTGACTTATAGCAATTTCTCCCCCTTCCCTGAAATGAAAGTGATCACAATACATCATAGCATTGTGCGAATTAACGTTAATTGATTCAAGTTACCAAGCAATGATGGGCTACTTATATAATCTAGGCGTTATTGGGTGCTAGAAGGGATGGAGGGAAGATTAGATTCCAGTGTCCGTTGCTGTGACGACGGGAGTCACCTGACACCTTGTTAGACAGTTGTAAGGTTCTATTGCTGGCCCCAGTGGGGTCGTCAGTAAACTGGAGTGATGTCCAAACATCATTACACGCTGCTCCAATATTAAAGCAAAAGGATTAGCAACTTATTGCAAGCAACCTGGATTTGTCATTGTGCTGTCGTTATCCAATTTCCAAGTGCTAATGTGACTATAGCCTGCAGGCAGAAGGACCTACAGCCAAACTTTAAAAAATGGGGGAGGAAAGTTCCCTCCATCTCTTCCGGTTTTAACCACTATTTAACAGCTTCCAATACCCAGTCAGGTATGTGAAAGAATTCTTTTTCCCCTAACAAAAAGGACACTAACAAAAAGAACAAGAGAATACAGAAATTTCCCAGTCCTGACATCACCCTGATTCATTCCTGATCTTGTTTTAAATCTTCCCAATCTGTACAGGATGGGGACCATTTCTATTTGCATGTCAAACACAGCAAACAAACAAACAAATAAACCCATGTGGATGGGAAGTGGCTTTTGGCAAGGCCCACTATCCTAGGATGAAAGAGTTGAGGATTGCAGATCTTCACTCTTAAACCATCTCTTTCTCACAGATCCTAGCCAGGTTCCCATAAAAGAAATCCTCAGGTTTTGATGAAATGTTTTGATGTTTTGATGAAACACTTCAAGGTTTCCTAATTTTTGGCCTCTCTTGTTTTTTATTGGCTAGTTAAGGCGGCAGAGTCTGTACGTACCATGAGGGGACTTAGATTTTAAAGGAGTTCAAATGATTCTATACCCTGGGAGGAAGAAAAGTAACTTCTCTAGCCAATTCCATCTGAAAAACCTATGCTAATCCTCCTATTCTACAAACATTGTTCAAGGCATTATAAAATATGCAAAAATAAATAATACCACGGGAGCTCTGTCTCTCAGGAATATTCTCTATAGTTTGTAATCAAGAATGACTTCCTCAGCTATCTTTCTGACTTGATATACACCATCGTACTTATAATTCACCATCCTTATGTTCACAGTGATCCAAGACAGGTTTCCTAGGAGGGAAGAAATGCTGCATTTCCTTCTGTCACTGCGGCTTAGTGATTCCAAGCCTGGTGCGTCGGAAGCACCCCCTAGCATGTAACGACAGAACACTTGGCAAGCTCAGTATCCGCTGTGTATGTCCTCTGATCTTAGATCAGTAATCGCCTCTAAAAGCTACCACCCATCTTGCCCTAGCTAACTTCAAGATCTGGTGCACCCCTTAACTTACATTCCCACAGCTCTATTGTAATATTTAGGGCTGAACTCTTGTGATTCCCTGAAAGTAGTGAGTTTCGAGTTACCCTAGGTGCAGGAGTTGGAAATGTCGTGGTGTTGTCATGGAAAAGAAAAGGGTCAGGATAAGAATAATGGCACATCTTTTGTAATAAATGTTCTGCCGCGCTTGGAAAGAGTACCATCTTACATTGTCAGGAGGTCTCAGCCTTGAGCACTTTAAACACCAGTTTCCTAGAAAGCAGGTGCCTTGGAGACACGAAGTTTACAGAAAAGGAGGTGTTCAGTAAAACTTAGTGTAACTAAGCTCCTATCTATTATCTATCTATCTATCATCGTTTTGGTTTTCTTCTTGATTGTGTGCTGCTTATGTAGAATACAGGAACTCAAAAAGCCATTTATGTCATAAAGGTACACACACGCATGCGCACACGCACACGCGCACACACACTCCTGCATTTTCATGCCCTCCCTCACTACGATGTTTTCAGATCCCAAGGTTCACGGCAATGTCGTAAAAAAGAGCTTTACGTGACGTAAAGGATTATTTTTTTGTTGCTGCAACACAGATTAGGACAAAGGTAGTAACTCAGAATTACGCATATGGATTATCTCCTGAGAGGAGATTCTCAGGCCTAGACAAGCTTGACTGGGCCAAGTGCTTCTCAAGAGGTTGTCAGAAGAAAAGCACGTCCAAACCCATTCAAGGTGCTGCCAGGATCCCAGGCATGTGGGAATAAGCTCCTGGTGGGAACCTCGAGCTTCTAAAGGAAAGATTTAACAAGTGCTTCTCTCTCCTCTCTCTGAGAACTCCACTGAGATTCCCTAAAGAATAAAAATGAGTAACCAACAGTGTTAATCAGAAGGAATAAAAAAGACAGGTGAAGAGACAATAAACAACAACAGAGGTCAACAAAATTTTGAAAATTGGAAAACAGCTTCATGGATCTGACAGATGTAAACAGAGGAAGTTTAAATCCAGATGCCTCTCGAGGATGACAAAGGAAAGGAGAGGGGAACCCGCTACAGACTATCAGCTTCAAAGGCAGATGGCAACTCACTCTCCTCACCAAGCCAAAGCTTGTCGCTTGGTGAAAATAAGAAAAGTAATATTCTCCTGGTAATGTGAGTGTCCACTTACTGAAATGCATATAACCCCATGAAATTAAAGAGTGAACTTCTGGAGAACATCTTTGATGCTCTTCCTGAAAGAACTGTAAATACTTTTTCATGTCACCTAATGGTTTACAAAGCCCATGAAATCCACCAGATCTACAAAGAAATTGCTTGAGCTCTCTTCTACTCTATCATACACATTAACATACAGTAAGGAAAAGGAGGATCGACATCCACTGTAAAGAAGGAAGGTGATACAAAAACAGTAAACTTTCACGTGGATAGGTTGCTCTGTACTCACAAGTTAGTCAGTGCATTAGCTGAATAACCTCACAAATGTGAAGGTTTTTCTTTTTATATCAGTTCTAGTGAATCTCACGTCCATTGAAGACAGGTGTATAGAAGCAATTACTGCTCATTAAATGTTATTTATTTATTTATTAGCACTACAGCAAAGAAAGTGATTTTCCAATAAGAACAGTATTATTTTTCCACCACAGTAACACCACAACCTAGCCCATCATTTAAAGTCAGCAGGAAGCAATGAGTGAACAAATAACTGAAAGCAAATTTCTTCAGAAAATTCTCTTCTATATATGTTTGCTTTCAGATCCAACATACTGTGTCTTCCAACATTTGAATAATAATAATGAAGAAAAGAGATCTAATGATGAATTTTAAAACTGAGAATTTAAGTCTTTAAATGGCTGTTTGGGTGTTTTATTCACTGAGAAATACAACAAATATTCACAACAAATAATGAGAATAACAGTAGTTAATGTACTGTTCATTGTTATCTTCAAAGTAGTTACTCAGAGTACAAGACATAAACCAAATAGGTTCTTACAAAAAAGAAACAAACAGATAATAACATAAAACTTGGGGCTGGGGATTTAGCTCAGCGGCAAAGCACCTGCCTGGCAAGCGCAAGGTCGTGAGTTCGGTTCCCGGTACCGGAGAAAAACCAAAAACAAACAAACAAAAAAAACATAAAACTTTTCCAATGAACTAAGAGAAACTAGTAGTATAAAGGAAATGAATTAGCATATATATTGAAATAGTTTTGAGTTTTCATTCTGATCTTAACAAGCAGACAGGATATGGGACTCAGTGGAAGAAGGTTGACGTTTGTACTATATCTTTGTATATCACCCCTTGCTCTGTTGCCTGTACAAGTGCTACTTACCCATAGCCAATGATTCCCTTTGACTGAGTCACCAGTAGGGCACCAACAGTCATATTCAGAACATGCTCCAGTATTCCAGTCTGTTGAGCTGTGATGATTTGGTGAGCCAAAGTTTGTAATGTGTTACTTGATAAGGATGGAGTTAGTCCAGTCCTCGTTGATGTTGGCAGGTCACCGATTTCAATGACAACCACGGTAGAGCTCATTTCTGCTGTGGCTGGTGGGAAGGCCCTATGGGAGCTCATTTCCGTCATGAGAGGTCTACGTTGTCCACCTCTTCTATAATGACTGGCACAAGCCACGCTTGGACAATTGCGTTTTCTCTTTGCTCTACTGTCAGCAATGGCCTTTAAGGTTCTTTCATCACCAGGCATCTCATGAGTAACTCTGATTTGGTTTTGGTCAATCTGTAAGAAGTTAGTTATTTTTTCAAGTATAACAACTTCCCAACCTTTTTCCAGGGATGAAAATGTCATGGTGAAGGCCAAATGAAGGGAAACATCTGTGCGTATTTCAATGGGCTCCTCTCCTTGTACAACCACATACAAGAGGTTATCTGTGATGCTGAAATAGTTGACACCAACAGACTCATCCAGCAATGATGATGCTGAATGCACTAAAGTAGGTGGAATAAAACTTCCACCCAGGAAAACGCGGGGGCTTTGGATTTCATGGTAGAATATGCCTAAGAGAAGCTTGGAGGTACTTTTGTTCCCTAACAGAATAAAACGCAAAACTTGAGGAGTCTGATCAACAAAGCACACTTTGGTAATTTGCCTGGTAGGTAAAATGGAATAAAAGGTAGACACAGACCCAGAAGTAGCACAAAGAGTATGATTATTTATACTACTAAATGTGTCAACAAAACCAGTAGTAACTGATACAACTGGATACAACTTCTGGCTTGCCCAAGTGACATCGACACTATCAAGAGCTAGGATCACGTGGTCAGTCTGTTTGCAGATGAAGCCTTGCATCAGTGGTCGGTATGTGCATTTCTGTTCTTCTCTGAATGTACCTATAAAATAAAGGAAAATAAACAAATGACACACAACCCACCACAATTCCCAATGGCGATTTGCAATTGAACACTCTTATCATCATCTGTAACTTCATAAAATATTTACTGAACTTAATATAAAATATATAGAGAACATTTACTGAACCTAATATCTAAGTATACCTGATAGTAAGAGCACAAGGAAATCTTGGTGAAAATATGAAAATGTACATGCATTAAATAATAGGCATTTAACATTTCAATTTTATGTGCTCCATTACATTAATTGAAAGTTAATGAACATAATGGTTAGGTTTCAAAAGAGCTGAATAAGTAAAGAATAAAGATAGATGTTGTGGGTTGAACTTTGACTGTCACCCAAAGCCTCATGCACCCAGGAGCAGTGGTTTTAGAAGTGATGGGAGCATTCAGGCACTGTACTCAGTCCTGCATTGGTGCATGGAGGAGTTTGTAGCTGAATGTGCTATGAAGAGGTGGGGCTGGTTAGAGAAGTGAGGTCACTGTGGTGCAACCTGGAAGGGTGTATCTCCCTAATCTCTCTTTCACTTTGCTTCCTGGCCAGCATGATGTGAGCTACTATTTTCTGCCAGACCCTTCCTCTGTGCCCTGCCGACCTTGGAGCCAGCTGACTATGGACTGAAATTATGAGCCCACAGAATTCTGCCTGCCTTTAAGTTTCAGGTGCCAGGGATTGTGTCTTAGCAACAAGGAAAGTGGCCAAGATAGTAGAAATAAACACTAAAAGATCTTGAGGAAAAACAAACTATATTACTCTCTCCAGTACAATAGAACACAGAAGACTTAACCCAAAATGCACGGGTATTTCTCCCCAAAAGTAACCAGTTCTCCACCAGAAGACGATCAGAACCATACAGTTTAACTCAGTCTGACATTACTTAGTGTTGGAACACACAGACCGCATAGGTTAAGGTAAATCCCACAGACCGCCCCCAGTTCAGGGGCCATTCAATGGTTCCATGTGGTGATCCATGCTTCTGAACAAGCTAAAATAAGAGTGCCTCTGAATGTCTCTAAGGTTCTGAGGCTCACAGAACCAAGGGAAATACATTATTTATATCTACCCCTTTACTATAAAAGATATCACAGGAGGTACAAATGAACACCCAGGTGGAAGAGATGCATAGGGCAAAGCATGTGGGATGAAGCACGGAGCTTCTGTGCCCTCTGCAGGCTTGCTGCACCCTGACAGGTCCAGCCACTTTCACACGCTCCAAAGCCTGTCTAGGTTTCCAATATGAAGGCAGGCTGATTAAGCAATTGGCCATTGGAGATCAACTCAACTTTCAGTGCTTCTCCCCTACTTTGTTACAAAAAGATGAAGCTTAAAGACCAATCTTCAATCATATCATTGGTTTCCCCGGCAACCAGCCCCAATAAGAGGCTATTAGAAATCTAGCAAGAGTTGCATGCCTGAAATTGCAGCACTATGGGAGGCTGAGGCAGGATAATCACAAGTTAGAACCCAGCCTTGGCAGCTTAGCGGTTTAGTGAGACCCTGTGGCAAAAGTAAAAATGTGAAAAATGGTCTGGGGATGTAGCTCAGTGCAAAGGCCCTGGGATCAATTCCTAGTACCAAGGTGTGTGGGGAGTCATCTTAATAGGACAAAAGTTGTTCTTCAGACTGAGGAATTTCAGAGCTCTTTGTGAGAAGTTTCTGTCAGTCAGAAAGGAACATAGGTCTTAGGCACTCTGGGTTAGGAGCCCCGAGTGTTAGAACAAAAGACTTCCCCCCTAACACCTGTATCTAAAATAGTTTTAGGACCTCTACCTCAAGAATCAATAGCAGACACCAGTATATGTATGCATTTCTTATTACCATAATGTCCAGACCTGTCATGCACAAAGGAAGAGGGAGAGGGAGATTCAAATCAAAGGAGGAAGAGGTGGGTTGAGGGGATTACAACCGAGGATTACTGGTGGTTTGTTAATACTGAAAATATATATCGTGAGCAGAGAATGAAAGAGTTTGAGTGATCTACTATATGATTTTCTCACACACTCTTTCTCTTACATATAAAGAATAAAGAAATACAAGAACAGCGAAAGAAGAAAATAGTAATTTGGGGAATTGCTGACATTACACAGAGTTCAAGTGAAGGAGAAGCAGGCTAATGAACACATTTCAGAAAATGTCATGATTCATGATTGCCATCATTCTTTCCTTCTTATACATAAACTTAGATTCCTTGTTTTAAATCCACAGGGACAGTTCATCTTCCAACAAAGATTTCATTTTAATTTAAAATTGAAATGCACAAAGTTCTTTTGCATGTTTCCAGATATTTTTAATTTACTTTAGTTCAAGTTCTTCAAAGTAGCTGAAGGGATGGAATAGCAGCAACAAAAATCAAATTATTTCTAATGTGGGAGATACTACATTTAGACGAAAGTTAGGTTTGTCCTACATACTTCCTTCCAAGTAATGTTATTATAAATGTCTGCCGGAGTTGTCTATGTTGTCCAATCTTAACTCCAAAATATTGCTTCAGAACATGGTTTTGCAGCACTTATATCAATAATGAGAAAAAAATCACAGCAGAATTAGAAAACATTTCAACTGAATAATAATGAAAATTTTAACATAACATATTTGTAGAATATAGTTGAAATAGTGCCCCCAGAGAAATTTATGTTATTAAATGATATTAACATCACATCAATATTAAATATCATAAAATAGTATTAAATACCATTAAATTACATTAATATTATATTAATATTAAATACTATTAAATGGTATTACATTTATGGTATTATATAAGAATTAGCTAAAAGCAATGTCCTAAAGTAATCTCTAAGAATTTGGAAAAGAAGTCTAATGTACAAGATGGTGACTACACTGTATGGTACACCTGTAATTGGCTAAGAGATCTTAAATGTCTTTACCACACACATGCATGTGCACACACACATTCCCTAAATAACTGGCAATGTATATGTTAGTTAACTTGACAATGGCAATCACTTGACTATGCTAGTATACATCAAAATATCACATTGTGTGCTCTAAACATATACAATTATTTTGACATTTATATCTCATTAAAAAGATGAAGAACTTACTTTTCAAAAGTTAAAAAGAAGAATCAGAAAAAGAGCACAGAAAACTCAAAGTAAGTAGAATGAAAGAGAAAATAAGACAGCAGAAATCAAAATAAAATAAAAAAGGCAGAGAAGGTGAATAAAATGGTTCTTAGAAAATGTTAACAAAATTGATGAACCCTTTACTAGGCCTATCAAAAGGAAAAGAATGCAAATCACCCATTTCAGCAACAGAGTTTTATTATTGCCAATTTTACAGTCAAAGAATAAGATGCTTTATGCCAATAAACTCAACCACATAGATCATGATGCTTACTAAGTGTTTTTTAAAAGGATGTAGAGGCCTATCTTGTGAACTTAAAAAACTGACACAAGACAAAATAAATCTTTACTGTCTCTTAAAGAAAATGGATTTCTTCAATTGAATATTAAATCATTAATTTAAATGAAAATTTAATTACCAAATCAAAAGAACTAATTTTTACGTGATATTTTTTCTTTCCATAGCTCTATAATATGATAAATTTTATATTAAATTAAGAATTATTTTCAAACTGAGTGGAGTAGCACACATATACAATCCCAGCACTTTGAGAGGCTGAGGCAGGAGGAACACAAACTCAAGTCTAGCCTGGGCAGACTTGTTAAGGGTGCACTTGTTAAGGTGAAGACTTAACAAGACCCTGTTCAAAATTTTTTTTGAAAAATTTTTAAATGTAAAAGCCTGGAGAAGTAGTTTGATGTGAAGTCCCTGGGTCCAATCTCTACTGCAGGGAAAAAAAATAATTGTTCTCAGAAACGTAGCTCCTGCATAAAGACACTCATTGCATGATCTTACTGGGTATGCAAATTGTGCCTTGAGATATTGATGACCAATCTCTACTACAGTTATAACTTTTCCAAATAAGGTAGATGATGTTCCTTATGGAAAATCTTTGCATCACTTAAGCTCCCCTTCCTGAGCTTTACATGTCACTGTCTTTAGTCTTACACATTTTCCAGCTGTGCTGATACCACTGATTAACCAGTTACATTCAACCCAATTTTACAGATCTCTGGCTTTGTTCTTTTTGCTACCCATCTAAGATATATACTGTCTTATGAAGTGATCCCTAGAGAGTGCTATACTTAGAACTGTCCCTGAGTAAAATAAGCATTCTCTTAGTTAATATAATTCTAAATCATTCAACTATGTATAATTTGATAAATCACATAACTTAGTAGGCATCTCTCCCCTTAAGGGGTATTTCTCAAGGACAGGGACCATATCTCACATTTAAATTATCATGAGATCTAACATTTTACCTTAGGTATAGTACATGCCCCTTAATATGTAATATTTGGTTGTTATGTATTCTTTTCAAAATTGTTATACTTCAAGTCATTTCTGTACTATATATTCTTTCTAGATCATTTTATATGACTATTATTCTATAGCTAAATTTTTAAATCAGCTCAAAATAGCAATATACACAATTATAATATAAATTTTGTTAATCAATTGCATAATTGATTTATCCACAACAGGTTCTGTTGTGATAAAATATGTTTTGAATCATTCATTCATTCACATACTAAATAAACACACATGGAGAAACATGAATTTTTCTTTCCATATTTTTATTCTTTTAAGGATCAAAAACCAAAAATGAACCATTTAGAATATGTTCAAGTATTCTTTTGTAGCTTTACCTATAGAATATGTACCTTCAAAGAGGTCCAGTTATAGAGTTCCTTTCATTTGTTTATTTATTTTTACATATTCCAGCCACCACAAAGTCTGATTCCCAGTCCATCCCAGCCTCAGGATCCAAAGCCTCTATTCACAAGTTAAGCAATTACATGGGCAGAGAAGAATGTGCCTGATCACCCATGCTGAAGAATAGACATAGAGAAGGTAGTTCTCGTGCAGAAGCATAAGACAGAGGAGAGAA